TTTTGACTGTGGTTCTGTCTCTGCATATCAATGCCATGACTAGGTCCGAGGTGGAGGCACCTTTTCAATGTTAACAGGAGGTAAATGACACACACTGCAGCAGAATGGCTGTTCCCTTTGCAAAGCTTTGGAACAAGTCAAAAAACATGCAAAGTACATTTGCAACTTACACAACTGATCAGACATGGAAACTGCTAGGGAAATAATATAGGATCTAAGTAATGAAAAAAAAAAGGAAAATAAAATTGCTAACTTGTTTTATTTTCCTTTAAATTTGACATGTGAAGAGCTGAAGAATTCTGTCTCACAATTTTTCAGACAACCAAGCTAACCTGCTCTATCAAAGGAAAAATTAGCAGCATGATTTGCTCTTTTCAAATGTCTGTATTCCTCAGTCAAATCCCAAACAGCTCTTTCATTTGGCAGGGTCCTATTTTAGAGTTTTTAGAACTTTCTGTGTCACTAAAACTGCAGCTTTGACATCTGACATCCGTTTTTTTTCCAGCCTTTCCACAGAAAGGTAGCAGCAATTCCCAGTGGCAGCTTCCCAGAGCAGAGGGACTACCTCAGTGGATAGTTCATTTGTTATGCAGCATCTGGGATTCTTTTCAGCGTCTCCAGTTACTAGCCTGATCCAATTTCCATTAACATCAAGTATAAGATTCCCATGACTTCAGTGGGGACCAGAGCTAGATCCTAAACTTCTGTTGACACTAAACATTGGAACAGAAAATGGACTATGTTGCTGAGTTTCATGTAGAACAAAACAGATCTGAAGCTCTACGTTCATAAGCTATAAAGGATAGACAGAATACAAATACATGATGTTACTAAGGGTTGTTTTATTTTTTTTTTATTTTTGTTGTTTATTTTTTACAGTGTTTGATGTCTAATATAGTAAAGAAAATCACTTAATAGTCTCAGGATCATGAACTCCCCATTGTCACACTGTCTTCCTACATGTGTGAAATGATGACATCTGTTAATATTCTGATGTCTGTAAGATAAATCAGTGCCAACAGGAAAAGACAGCTCCATTAGAAACAAATGGTTCTAACACAATATCCAGTGACAGGTATTTGCAGTGCTTTGGAGGCACCATTTCAATACAAACTGTCATTATATATGGTGCTTAGGAACAGTGACTTGTCACTTGTAAATGGAGATACTGTTATAGAGCAAGAATTGTCATAAAAGACATTTAATTTAAGGGCAACCTCAAAGCTGAGGCTTTTGCTGTTTTTTATTAAGTACTCCCTTCTTAGTGTATGAAGCTACAGCCCAGCTGCTTATTGGCAACACATAGAATTATAAGCAGTGGCAGAATTACACCCTTTATAATGTCCTTGGGACTCAAGCAATGTGATCATTATAAAATGGTGTACTTACAAGCTTAACACATGCAGTATAATTTTGGTTTGATGTACACTGTGTAGGAAAAGATTATGTGCATAATGAGAGTGAAGTCATCTACTACTTGAACAGAGAGTGCCTTGCCAAGTGAGCTTCCCTCCCACAGGGATCCTCCAGAGTACAGCTGGGTGAAATAGTTTGCCCAGAGCCTGTTCTTGAGAAAGGCAGAGGATTTTCACTCAAACAATTATTCAGGTTGATTCAGTGCAGAATTTTTCCTTGAGAAAAAAAAAAATTAACACACAAAGCATCCAAAACTAACCAATCAATCAAATCACAAATACAAAACCAAACTCGAATCAAAAAACCTTTCTCATATATTTTTTTAGAAATATCAGTGTTTTAGAGCCTTAAGAAATGTAATAAACATAATAAAAATGTGGACTTCAAAGTACTGGTCCCCACCCTGTAAACAGGAGAGTTCAAGCGGGAGTTGATCATGGTTGCTCTAAATGAAATCCTGGTCTTGCCTGCTTATAAGATAAATAATGATCGGGGTTGTCTCAAAACATAGTGGGCTTCTCTTTACCCATTAGGTTTCACTCACTGACCTGTGAAAGCAACTTTGTGGCCCAGCGCAGACCAGGGCCCTTTTATTCCGTCTAGCCTCTAAAAACCTCCTGCTTTACACTACTCTCTGAACTCTGGCTTTGCTCCACAAAGCCAGGACAGAAAATAAGTATCTTTTTGTGCCTGCTAGGACCTTTGAGGAGCATCATGATCACAAGAATCCCTTCCTCTCCTGAGAATGCAATGTGTGCAGTGTGGGCTGCCCTGTCCTTTTGCAGGCTATGCAGTGGGAGACTAGGTTACTGTTGTGCTTTTGCTTCCACATTATGTACTCAAGGCTTACATTACTGTTTGGAATTCTGTTGGGAAGTTTACAAAGATAGAGGCTATCTGAAAATCCAGGTCCAGGCCTAGCTTCATATTTTAAAGTTGCTAAGTCCAAGGCTATTCAGAGCAAAAATGTTTGCTCTGGCCACTCATGGATTTTTGCTTCTCTATATGTGTGTATATGTATGTGTCCTGGTTTAGGCTGGGATAGAGTTAATTTTCTTCTTAATAGATGATACAGTGCTGTGTTTTGGATTTAGTATGAGAATAATGTTGATAACACACTGATGTTTTGGTTGTTGCTAAGTAGTGTTTACACTAAATCAAGGACTTTTCAGGTCTCATGACCTGCCAGTGAGCAGGTGCACAAGAAGCCAGAAGGAAGCACGGCCAGAACAGCTGACCTGAACTGGCCAAAGGGATATTCCATACCACAGAACATAATGACCATTGGGATAACTGGAGGGTATTGACTGGGAGCCACTCATTGAGGGACAAGATGGACACCAGTGAGTGGGGGGGTGAGTGATTTTATTGTGCATCACTTCTTTCTCTTGGGTTTTACTCCTCCCTCTCTCTACTTGTAATTATTATTATCACAATATTCTAATTATTAAGCTGTTCTTAACTCGTGAGTTTTACCTTTTTTATCTTGATTTTCCTCACCATCCCATGGAGGGTGGGAGGAGTGAGCAGGTGGCTGCATGGGGCTTAGCTGCTGATTGGGGTTAGCCCATATCAGTGTGAATACACCAGGCAGTGGGTGGAGTGTGTGACTAGGTGTGTGCTTGTTTATGTGCCACCATAAGCCCCTGCATGTGGGTATAGCAGAAACCATAAATCCAGACATACAGCAGCATTTATTCTTCCTTTAAAAGAGGCAATTGAGTCATCTTTGGTCTATATGCAGCTTAGTAGAAGACAGGAGAAATATAGGTTGTCACATGACAGCAAGACCTGATCCTCATGCCTACATTTAAGCAAATTGCTTTTGCAACAAAGCCAACAGGTAGAAAGTTTGTTCAGACCGAAAAAGAGGGATCTTCAGAGGCAGCCTCAGGAGTGTATGTGAAGCAGAGGAGGCAGCAACGTGGCGAGGGGGCCAAAGAGGCCCCTTCCCACGCTCCTTCTCCACAGAGGAGCACACCAGGCAGCACAGCACAGCCAGGCAGTGTTTGTTGAAAGAGCAGGGTGGCTGCTGTTCGCCCCTTTGCTATCTCTGGCTTGCCTCAGTGGTCGAGGTGAAAGCAGGAGGGGATGTGGCACAGCTGCCTCACCAAGTATCACCACTTTCAAATTCCACTTCTTATCTCAGCCCTTCTTCCTTGTTGCTAATTACCACCTACTCCAAGATGTCAAGAACATACTCCCAGGAATAAACTGCTAGATAAACAAACCCCAGACAAACATCAAAGCTTAAAACAAACTGATAAGTCCCTTTGATTGATTTTAAGGGTCGGTGGGGAGAGGTGTGTTTGGATTGGAAGGTGCAAATGTTGAGCGGAGCAGCACCTGCTGCCTTGTGATCTCACCAAACCATTTGGCTTGAAAAGGCCAGGAGATAGGGAATCAGAAATCCATTTGGAGTTACAAAAGCAGCAGGGGAGGCTTAGATGAACAAAGGGGCTCTCCGGGCAGGGCCGTGTGCTGCTTTTTGTCAGCTTGGTATCACATTCCCTGCCCCAGCGTGACAGACAAATGCCAGGCCAGATGATGCGATACGATCAGCCTTGCTGGATGAGGTTTGTACCTGTATTATATGATGGCAGCAGATGCTGATTCAATACTGGGGCAAGCACAGAGTAAACCAAGGTTTAAACTTCTCAGCAAAAATTATTTCCAGGTACCCGTGTCAGAAGGTGGGAAGGGAGTTGTTCAGAGACAAGGACAGGCTTGGGATGTGCCTGTGTACAGACAGAGCATTAGTGAAAAATGCTCAGTTGGAGAATAAAACATATATGTGACTGCAGAGCTCCCCCACCCTTTCCTGGGGTCTCACAGGCTCTCAGGCCTGCTCTGCACAGACTGTGCTTACCTGAGCTGATGGAGGAATAGGAATCCAGCTCATCCCTACTAAACCAGAGATTAGCAGAGAAAGCTTACACAGGCCTAAATATGCCTAAAATCAAAGTGATACAATTTGCTGTGATAAAGCAGGATATCTTCCCCTCCCTTAAGTTCCAGCGCTGCAAAAATAGTTCCACGCTCTTGACTACACACATACAATAATGCCACAGTTACTGATGGGCTCTCCATATGCTCAGTTAAGCAAGCAGAATTCAAGAACCCAGACTCCTATCAGCTAATATTATATACTTGTTTGTGCCTGGGGGCATCTAGGGGTGTTTCAAATGCTGCAGTGATGTGCTGAGGTGGATCTACACCATTCATGCTTTAGCATTCCCTCTAAAGGTGACTGTCTGCATAGGAGAGCAATCGCAGTGGGAAGAAACAGCATGACTGGGAATTCTGCTTTGATTGTACCATGCACAGTTAAAGGTGAAAAAGGTGCAGCCTACACAGTTATTTTACTTACTTGTTTCCCTCAGTAAATGAGCTTTCTGATCTCTTACTAGAAAATGTTAGTTTTGTCCTAGGCTTTTTGGTAGGTTGTTTGTTTTTCCACTGGCAATGAGGTGGGGGGGAGGAGGGGGAGGGAAAGGGAGGGGAAAAGACTGTCTCTTTTTGGTTATGAATTTGCTGTAACTGATGAAAATTCTAATGTAAAGCTCATGTTTACCAAGCTTAGAAGCTCTGCAAAATCTTTCCGTTTTCTCTACTTCTTCAAGTGAACGCAAAGGAAATGAGACTAAAGAAATGATGGGTGAGTGAAAAAAAGACAGTTCGTGTTACTGAAAATTGGAAGTGGGTGGATGTTTCAGAAATGCTCGATCAACATTTGCAAAAAGCCAGGACCAATGTCTAGGAAAGTAGTTTACCCTCAGGAATAATAAGAGAAAAGTAATTTTAGGTAAACTACTGAAATTCTCAACTTGAATTTTCATCATACAAATCCAGTTCTTGGATCATTACTTATCCAGTTATAGACTGGGAGACTGTGCTCAGTGAAAAACAAGCAATGGAGGTTGAATTTCTGCAAAATGAGTTTTCAAAACCATATTTATTTCAGGACAGAATGACTGACTCAGTCCTACTACTGGCATTGCCTACAGTGCTTAAATGGTGTTTCAAGATGCACCTTTCTACACAAGAAAATGATAGTAAAAATTCCCAGGCATGCTCCATTTCTCAGTGATTTTGACTGAAACTACTTGGAGCGTGTGCAATGACTCTAATATGACTGAAGAAATATTGATGTACATTGAAGAGATCAAGGAGGGACATGTTTTTCTGACTCTCTACTTACAAAAAAAAAAAAAAAAAAAGAAAGCAACATCACCTCTCTGTGCATTAGACTTTCTGTCTACTGAAATGGCACAAAAAGAGCATCTCTGAGGGCTTTCCAGTGCCAATAGGGATGATTTATAGCTTCAGCACTATTTGTTTTAATCTCTGAGGGAGGGGAGGAGGAAGGGAATGGATTCGATGATACATAGAGAAACATTATTTCCCAAAGGCAGATTTTATTTCTTTAACAATTTATAAAGCTCCAGAAGTGAAATATCACTATTTTGGGACTGGTGTTATATATCAATGAGTTTAGCAGCTGCCAGGCTTATGCATGTATTTTGTACTGTACATACAGTGCAAAGGCCATTGATTCAACAGTGGTAACAGGGTCTTTATTGCCATTATTGCAGTAGATCACAACATTTTGATCTTAAGAGACAGACTGTGCACTGACAAATGTCAAAGGCAAAATTGTTTAATAAGCAAACCCTGTTCTACCTCTGCTAATCACCCTGCTAACTACCTCAGCTGCTGCATCTCACTTATTCTGCTCTTTGCTAGTAGCAGATCTGACCATAGCTCTGTTCATTCTGCTGTCATTAACTGTGTAGGCATAAAAATGTGATCAAATATTAAATATATTGATAAAAACTTTTTTTGAAGTCCAGTGGGGGGAAGTGGATGTGTACTTTGGGGGAGGTAGAAAAAACAAATCTTGTGACTCTTACTGTAGACATACTAGCTTGATAGCCCCTATAGAATACTACAGGGAGTACCTGGATTTGCAGGAAAAATACAAAAAGTCTGCTTTAAGGTGGAAAATCTAGTGATCAGTAGAGATAAGTGTTTTAGTAGAAGATGGATTCTTGAAGCCCTAATCCAATTATTGAGAGGTCTCAAAATCGTACAGATAATTGTATACAATTCACAGGTCACTCCGTGACCATTTTCTGTTTGAATGCTGCTAATTATGAAACCAAAAAGCTTCTTCCTCTTGAGGCTTGTGGGAACTCGAGGTAATAAAACAGATAAGATAGTTCTCTTTCGGAAGGTAAAGATATATATTTCATTGTGGGGTTTTACACATAAAGCAGGAAAGAAACTTTCAGAGGGTCTCTGCAGCCCTCCCTTTTAAAAAGAGCTCTGTAGCCATGGCCTATTACCTGGGTTTTCATCTCAAAGCACAGTTGAGGTGAGAAAGAATACAGCTCTACTGAGATGCAGACACTGTTCCTCTGTGTGTTTCTCTCCCTTTTAACTAAGTTTTATTTGTGTAGGAGAAAAAATCTAGTTTTCAGCTCTGTGGCCACAGAGCCTTTACTGTCAGCAGAATCAGTGTATTTTCCCTAGGCAAAGGCAAAAGAGACAATGGCAGGGCAGTATATACAGTGTGCATTGTTACAGCCTCAGCGGGGACTTCTGGTATGGGAATGATTATGGGAATCAGAGTGAACCAGGGCCATATCCTTCCCTGAGAGTGTTGGGACCCCAGAAAGCTCTTGCAGACACTGATGCCCTTTACATTGCTTTTATTGGGTGCTAGCTCTCAGGCTTTAGCTTATTATTATTATAGGATGTTTGAGTATTTACTTGCTTAGAAATAACTTAGACCAGACTTTGCTGAAGACTCCACTTCACTTGAGATGCATCAAGATTCAAAAGTAGAGAATCAAAAGTTTGTTTGATAGTAATATCACTGTTGATCCAAGGCTTTGAAAATTGCTGGTTATGGCCCTGAAATGGGGAGCAGCTTTACTAATTTCTGATGGAGCTTGCAAAGCAGAAGTCTGCTGATTTTTGAGCTCCTAAGAATGTCTGCATAGTTTGTTAATCCCTGGAAGTGGGAAGCCAGCTTTTAGCAACAGTATGAGGGACTGGACCTTTGTGTTTGCTAGCTCTGAAACTGGGATTTAGCCAGATTATTTTTCATTTCTCACAAAAGGGGAGTCATAGTGCTTGCTGAAGCCAAATGACAGTTGTGGGAGCTGAGACTTCCATTTACTACATACAACAGCAAAGCTAAGAGGAAGCCATGGCTGCCAGATGTTTGTTTTACATAATCCAGAGGATGCAGATGTCTTTCTTCAGCAATGGACATTTTGTGATATTGTTAAAGGCTGGTACCTAAGGAACTGTTTCTAGATTGTGACTTGATCTATGTCTGAGTGGAGTGGAGCAAGGGTCCCTTTCCTCTTTGCAGGTTACCCGAGGCAGCTTGGAACCTGGGTGAAAGAATAGCTAGGGCTTTATTGGCTTACTCTTACCAGATGGCTTACCAGAGGAAAGTGGGTGAGAGAACAGCTAAAGTGGTGGCTTCCTTCCTGCAGCAGCCTATGCTGAACCTGCAGAAAGGAAATGGAATGGAATGGAATGGAATGGAATGGAATGGAATGGAATGGAATGGAATGGAATGGAATAGAATAGAATAGAATAGAATATTTCAGCTGGAATTGATCTACAATTGTCATCTGGTCCAGCTGCCTGAGCACTTCAGGGCTGACCAGAAGTTGAAGCATGTAATTAAGAACATTGTCCAAATGCCTCTTAAAGACTGATAGATTCAGGTCATCAACCTCCCTAGAAAGCCTGTTCCAGTGTTTGACCACTCTTGCTGTAAATAATTTCTCCCTAATATCCAGTCTAATGACTACAGGCTGTAAGGAAGAAGAGCTTGAGAGGAGCATGAAGGAATCAGCCTTTGCCCAGCTGTTGGCTTGCAAGTGCAGCATCTTTGAAACCAGCCCTGTTAAAAAAGGACCACTTAAAGAACATGGTCTTTTTTGAATTATTGCCTACTGGGGTGCCCTCAGGTTGCTAAAAATGTAGACATTAGGTCTTGAAATCAAACAAAGGTTTTTTGACTTGCAGTAAAAATACAAGAGGGAGAGATGTTGGGACTGATGAGTTTCCAAATAAACTATCCTTTGCATCACAGAAGAGTTTGTACTCTCTGTAAAAAGTCGAGGAGAGGAGTTAGAAATGAAACAGTGGAATAAAACAAGTCACAGATGCCATAAAGAATATGTAGAATTCAAATCATTGAGGTGGTGGCTGTAAAACACTGGGTCCTCAAACAACAAAGAGAGAAAACTAGATGCAACCTGAACAGAAATGAAGGAATATGAGTGCCTAAAAAGACAAATGTTTATTCTGCTGGCAACAAGGCTACATGGATGAGCACATTTCTCTAAGTGCTGTAGGTTACATCTGTACCAGTCACACACACACATGCAAGGCCAAGCCTTGAACAGTGGCTGATGATTGTTCCAGCAGTTCAGTTGTTTGCACAATATCAACAAACATTTTCTATATTATCTCTGCATGTGACTTAGGTGATGGCACAAAGCAGGGATCTCTCTGAATAAGTAGTCCATACACAGCCACCTTGCTTTTTTGGGAAAATTAATCTCTTGAGTTACCTTGTTGTAACTCAGACCACAGCCTGGGATCTCCTGGGATTTTGTATGGTCTGGCTTATAATTTCATTGGTGCTTGCTGTAAAACTCTTTAGGTTCTCCTCTATTTCCTTTGATGGATAGAACTCTTTCTAAGTTCAGCTATATTATATAGCCAGGCCCAATACAATCCCAGTGTTTACAGTAAATTAGACTGCAAAAATGTGGCCAGGTGCAAGTGGCTTACAATGAAAATAGCCTGAGTGCATAGGTAGGCATAGGTCATCAAAAAATTAATGAAACAAGACATTGGAGAGATTAGTAGCCCTGAGCTAGAGCAGGGACCCTGTTCTAGGAGAAAGTATGTCACTATATATGTGTGACTGCTCACAACTTGATCTTAGGCAGTAATCATAATTAGAAAAAGTAAGGTTTCAATTGGCTTCAATCACACAAGAATGACATGTGGGCCTTCCCATGTAGAAAGACAGGGAATTACAAATCTTTTTAGACTTTGTTGCACTGTGCTACAGTTCAACACCATAACATTTTCAATGTGAAAAAGGAAGAACAATCACCCTGGCCTTCACCCAGCATGCAAAGCCAAAGAAAGCATATATTGGAGGAGACGGAGGCTGCTTCATGGTGAGATGAAGATAGAAGCATATTGGATATGTAGACAGTGAGGATACAGAGGATTTCTTTAGCTTCAGGGAACACTGGGCAGAGAAAACTGTCAGTTCTGCAGTGAAGAGGTAACAATACACCTGTTGAAACAAGCACAGAACCAGTCAGAAAACTCATGCTTCTGATCCTAGACATCTGTTGACTTTTGAGAGACTGCAGCTGCACTCTGAAAAATGTAGAGTGTTTAGGAACTAAAGGGTGGGAAGAAGTTCAGTGATTTATAGGGATGCCTAACTTATCTTTCTAGATTCTGCACATGCTTATCAGAAGCCTGTGAACTCTTGAGACAGTTAGCACATAGTAGGCGTATGGTGAGATACCAACAAACAGGCATTTGAAGGAGTAAAGAAAAATGTAAGCAATATATCAGGCTTTAAGCACTATCAAGCAA